ACTCTAATATATGCTCATTACATTTACGGGTTGGACGTCACATTAAAAGACCTTTTGAAAATTCAGGCAGGCCACTCCGTCCCCTGCATAGGAGCTGACCAAGGGCTGAATCGGAACGCTGGTTTCTTTCACTGCTGAGGGCACGCCTAGGCTCCTGTGATTCTAAGAAACTATCGACCCTTCTCGCAGACCACTGGCCATTTAGTGCGGCTGGAAAGTCAACTGCCTCCCCGTGGCCTACTAAACCGTGCACGTTTGGCGGGTTGTATGGACCAGTTGGCAGGAGGTAGCAGGTGTAGGGCTTAGGTTGCATTTTTCTGTTTTTATTATGATTATCATTTTATTTCTGTTGATTTTGCAAGATTTTTGTAGATTTTACAGAGCCCCTTTTTCCCATTTGTTGCCTCTGTGGTGTAGGGACTGGAGAGAGCGGAAAGAGTACCTTTATAAAGCAGATGAGAATCATTCACGGTTCAGGCTACTCTGAGGAGGACAAGAAGGGTTTCACCAAGCTGGTCTACCAGAACATCTTCACGTCGATTCAGGCCATGATCCGAGCCATGGACACCCTCCAGATTCCCTACAAATATGAACACAATAAGGTACAGTTGTTTTCCCAGCCTTCACCTTGCCTTCACTGAGCTGAGGTAAGGAGTGGCCTCTAATTGTCTACCCACTAATGTTGAACTTCGTTCTGAGGTCTTGGGCAAAACAGTGAGGTCTTTCTTATTTTTTTGCGTGATCCCATGACTTGAGTAAACTGTTGCACAGTCAACAAATGCATTAAGTCATTATCAGGAAACATTCATAGGTTTAATATTTAATTTGATGCTATTATTGATGGACATCTGTGTATCATTTAGGGTTTCCCAGGGGGTGCACCCTCATCATGAAGTAGGTCAACTCATGAATCAAATACCATGAGAGAGACAAAATCACTTCGGTTAATCATTCAGCTCAGCCCTAATGAGATTATCCCTCCAAGCTATAAAATTAATTATACAAATTCACTGCCTTACAGAAATGTGCTGGCACCTCTTTTCCATTTCTAGATAAGCCTAAAGGGAAGCCTAGTTTTTCTCATCTGCATGCAGTTGACTGAAATATAACAGAACACTGCAACCTTGATGAAGCACCACAGTAAAGGCTCATGCTTTGCCAGTAGTAACTTTCAGAAACATGAATTTGTGGTAAAATGGGACCACAACATAGCAACCCATGCATGGCCTATTGAACACCTAACAACTTTTTTAACGCTTTGTTTTTCTCCCATCATTTTTCAGGGCAATGCCAGTATTGTTCGAGAAGTGGATGTAGAGAAGGTTACAACATTTGTAAATCCTTATGTAGATGCCATTAAGAGTTTATGGAATGACCCAGGAATCCAGGAGTGCTACGATCGAAGGAGAGAATACCAGTTGTCAGATTCTACCAAATAGTGAGTGTACAGCAGACATATGTCTTTGTGAGGATTGGTTTAAGAATCTGTAAAATTATTGCATCGATTTAGGTTAGACCTGATTCGTTAGGTCTCTTCCTTTCCTGTATTGTTGATGTCAGAGGCAGCAAACTTTGTTTAATGCACCAGTTACTGCATAATTGATGATTTTGTGTAAGTTTTGGGGGTCCTCTTGTTTCAGCAGGCTGCGACAGTAGGGTCTTTTAAGGCCAGTGCTAATTCAAGTCTGAAACCGAAAGCTCCAACAGTAGGCTGGTAAAACATGTGACCACTAGGCCTTTGCAAATGGCTGTATGGCATTACTTTGATACATAAAGGAACTAACTACTTGAATTTTGGTGGTTTCAAAGATGGCTGCTCTTTAAGCCATCTGAAATCCCTGTTAATTGAGATCATTACAGAGAAGTACTTTAGGTTGTGCATCTGTATTTCTAACATATACATTTACTCCTCAGCTACCTAAATTCACTGGATCGTATAGCTGACTCATCGTACGTGCCCACGCAGCAAGATGTGCTCAGGGTCAGAGTGCCCACAACTGGCATCATTGAATACCCTTTTGACCTCCAGAGTGTCATATTCAGGTAGACTGTTGTTCCTGATTTTATACATGTTGTTTTGTTCCATTCTCGTGAAGCTCATTCTATTGTAAATAGGTTTGCACAATATATTAACGGCCAACATATTCTCCTCATTCACAGATAAGCATGGAGAAAATGTAGTTCATATTATTAGTATTGCACCTGATAATTTAACTCCATGTTTTTAGCTCAGTTATGCAGTGATTCATATGTAATCACTAGTGCTGGGAAATTCTATTCTTTTCAACTCACTCAAATTAATAGTAAAGTGGATAATGCCACCATCACACATGTGGAAAATCAGAAGATCAATTCCCTAACCATTCAGGAATACTACTGCTGTACTGAAAGAGTTCTCAGCGGTACAGAACAAGACTGCTAATGTAATGTTCACCTCCCACTGTATGTGGCTCTGGAAGGCTCATAAATAATCAAAAATATTTAACCACATCTTGGCTATGTAAAACTAATAAATGCATCTTTAACCTTTGTTGCTACAGATATGAATTATAGTGTGAACATGTTTCAAAATGCACAAAAAACTAATTTTGTTATTATCAGTTTTGGCTACAAAAAGGTGTTAGCAGGTATCTTACTGGCCTAGAAATTCTAAATTGGTGCACCCTTATTTTCAAACTAATCTGAAAGTAATTCACTGGCCTGAATAGTTAATTTACTGTGTTTTTCCCATCTGACTTGCTGCACAATTACTTTCCAGTTTTCTTGTATTGCTGCTGTGTAGTATGTGGTTTGTGGCATATGGTGTCATTGCCGTGTTGCCCTTGCACATCTGATTACTCGTCTCCACTAGAATGGTGGATGTGGGTGGCCAGCGGTCAGAGAGACGAAAGTGGATCCACTGCTTTGAGAATGTCACCTCAATCATGTTCCTGGTGGCGCTGAGTGAATATGACCAAGTTCTGGTGGAATCTGACAATGAGGTGTGTGTCTGTGTCTGAATGATCAGCAGAGGGAGCCAGAGTAGTGCTCATTGTAGCAGTATTTGCAGTTATTCTTGATGTATATATGTCAGAACTGAAAAACGTTTATTTGGATCGGTTATCTGAAAATTAAATTTGCTGAACTCTGCTACTCCCATTAATACCAATATCAAATTGTAGGTAGAACGTGGGATGGTTTTATCGTTCATTTTTACAGTTATGAATTTTTAAATAATTATTTATTTATTTATTTATTTATTTATTCTATTGCAGTCTTTGCATTCTCTATGGATAATATGCAGTATAACTTGCAGAGGGTGCAGATTTTCTTAGAATGGAACCTAAAGCCAGCATTGTCACCAGTGTAGCTTTTGAAGATGACTTGGTAAACGTGCAGCGTTGTGAAAGGTGTCTTATTTCCCCTTCAGAATCGGATGGAGGAAAGCAAAGCACTGTTTAGGACGATCATAACGTATCCCTGGTTCCAGAATTCTTCTGTCATTTTGTTTTTGAACAAGAAAGACCTGTTGGAGGAGAAAATAATGTTTTCGCATCTTGTGGATTACTTCCCTGAGTATGATGGTGAGTGGTGTGAAAATCTAGATTTTGAGATTGCCGAGTGTAAGATTAGAATATCAGGCTCATTTACTTCTGAAAGAAGTGGATGGGTAGATAGTTCAGTAGATGGTAGTGTGCATTCCTTTTGTGTGCATCAACAAAGGCATTGTAGACTTATTTCTCTGTAACTCAGGTATCTTTTCTTTGTAATGAGGACAAGATGATAATACTGATTTTCCTTTGGTGCTCTGTGTCTTAATTTGACTGTAATTTTAAAAACAAAATCAGAATACAGTAAGATAATACAAAGGTTCACCTCTACCCCTTCCCACTACCCATCATCAGTGAGTTAGCTCAGAGATTCTCTCTGGTAGCATGTTTCACTCAAAAATACATGACAAATAGAAGGAAATTATGATTTCCAATTTGCAATGAATGACAATATTTTAAAAGATTTTTTACTTCATAGAAATACAGTATCTTGACAAACACATTTAAACATGCATAGAGATTGCAGAGCGCAGCTAGTAAAAACATTCACAACATGCAGCAAATCAAGACATCAAGCAAGACGAGTTAATTTTTGTTCTTTTCTTTTTCTTTTTCACTGCTAGGTCCCCAGAGGGATGCTCAGGCAGCAAGGGAATTCATCCTGAAGATGTTTGTCGACCTGAATCCAGACAGTGACAAAATCATCTATTCTCACTTCACCTGCGCAACAGACACAGAAAACATTCGATTCGTCTTCGCTGCTGTCAAGGACACCATCTTGCAGCTCAATCTGAAGGAATACAATCTAGTCTAAGACAAAACAAACTGGTGACAGTTCTGTTTTGTTCCTTCCTGCTCAAAAAGCACCTGCAGACCACAGCTTGACCATACTCATAAATGGCATGCAGAGATCGTACTGGTCTGTCTTGATTTTTTTTTTTTTGTTTTTTTTTCTTTCTTTCTTTTTTTCTTTTTTTTTCTGTTGTTTTTCTCAAGGGCAATTTGGAGACCAATTACCTTTTTGTCTTTGGACGATAATATCAATTAATAGAAACTGCTCACTACTGCATAAATATTTATTTGCACCTTGGAGCTTGTTCACAGGGTCCATCTTGAATTGTTATTCCATCTTAAGGAGAAATTATGTTAATGAACCTTTTATGATTACAAGCAGTAAATACATTTGGAAGAGACATGCCTTCACCTTCCTGCTCTTTCTGAGGAATCTCTTTTAATTCAGTAGCGGTCTTCTCTCTGTCTGCGATTTGAAGAATGTATGCATTTGGTTTATTACTAAGGTGATTACATTTGTTTTTTCACTTTGGTCATGTTATATGATTATTTTCCGAGGGACAAGTGGTTGTTAGATAGTAATTAAAACCATTGTCCACTGTATTTAAGTACTTCAGCTGGTGATGGCGTTTTGTTCAAAGTCTGAGGAGACTTGGCAAGTTCAGGGGGTTATTCTAAAAGAAGTCAGATTACCATGCATTTGTTGTCTTCATGATGAATAACAGTAAATTGATAGGACTTGAGTAGATGTTACAAGTGCCACATTTTGCTTTTAAATATGCTTGTCTTATATATTGCCAAATTAATATTTGTACCACTAACATTAGCTGTCCCCTTTGTTTTGAAAATGTCGATATTATTTCTTTAACACATCACCTGTCTGTTGTCTTCTGGATATTTTACTTTGCTATTTTGCTCCTGTAAAGTAGCCCTGCTTCTCAATTAGTGTTCACTCTGCAAATTGCTAAGTCATTTTACTCATCAGTATTTCAGAACATTAAGCTAATTATAGTCATTAAATTGTTCATTTCAATTGGTGCCTGGTATCCGAGGAGCCCTAGGAGTTTCCCATTAGGTGGATCAAGCATTTTGCCATATTGTTATCTGCATTTTTGGTCTCATTTACATCAAATACCAAAAACCCTCAGTACATCATTGGAAAACTCTTGCTGACATAGTTATTGATTTTGGCCAAGAGGTCAATTTAGTGAAATCAAGCTTTTGTCAAAATGTACAGTCATTGTCTAAAACAAGGCTGCCTTACAGAACTGCTTTCTAGAAAAGGGTTAGCCCCTGTTAATTAAATGATTTGATGTAATATGGATATATACAAAGATTGCTCAGTGTTTCACTAAGGAAAAATACAGTGGTCTTTCCTAACACTGCTAGAGAAGGTGAAGGCAATTAATGCAATCTAAGTGATATTTTTTTTTTTTTGATGAGCATCAAATTTTCTTTTTTCTTTTTAAATGTGCTTTCAACAGGTTTACAACCTTTTATTGATGAAGGGCTGCTATTTTAGAAAGTAACAGTGGTGGAATTAGTGCTGTGTGATGTTTACCATCCAAATGTTTTGAAAAGTCCTCATGATTCCAAGGGCTTTTGGTGTTAATTTGAAGTTTAAATCATTCCTAAGGTGACTGATCTCAAATTAAACTTCACTTGACTGTAATTCTTGCCAAGCATTCAAACTAATCTACAAATATCATTTGAGACACAGAGTCTCAAAGTTGTATTCAACTGTAAAGTATGATGCTACTACAATGTATGACATGCTCTTGCTTCTCTGTGTTTGAGAGCATTCATTATGTCTGAAGATCACAGAGTTGAGCTCTGAAAGATATCAAAAGTGCTGGCTTTGATACAGGCTGGGGATGGAGAACAAATGTGCTGTTTAATAGAAGCTCTTTGTAATGACATCTATTGTTTGCTGTTTTATTTATTTAGTTTGTTTTTTGCATAATGACATACACATTTGCCCCAAGGCAAAAATTAATGAAACATTTCCAGTGTGTAACACCAGTATTCCCATATCTCGTTTTGTTTTATTTGGTGGTCACTGGTACTGTGTGCATAATGCTTGTTGATCCACACAGCAGATAATGGCCTCGGTTCACTAACTGAAGAATTTTGTAGGGCTCTAGTGGAGTAACCTGAAACCAAAAGCAGTTGCACTTGAATTGTGAGTCTGACTCAACCCCCAATTGTACAGTACATACTTCATTCCTCCCATGTTAATGGTGATCTGCTGGTATGCCATGGTCTGAGGTGCCTCATGTTGTACTTTAATGAATTAGCCATTTGAAAATGAACTGTGCCCCCCTTTCCGCCTAAAATGAATGTTTAAGGTGCCAGTAGGGGGTTTGGTAATTTAGTTGTTCAGCAATATGCACTCCAAGAGAAGAAAATGAGTACAACTCTTATCACTTCGTAATCGTGCCAGGTCCTCTGTTGAACGGGGTGGTCTTTTTGATTTTTTTTTTGTTTTTTTGAATACTAATTAGCCTTGTCAGAAGTCTGCAGTGTGTCCAAATTCTGGATCAAATTCTAAATTTCATTCCACTTCATGTGGAACATTTGGAGGAATACCCAGATGCAGTGTAGCTGCATTCTCCTCTCAAACATTGCTGCCAAGTTGCTTTGTGCTGTTTTCTACTTTCCTCTGTGACTTGGATTTTGCTCTTTTTTTGTCATTTGAACAGTTGTCTAAAATGCTTTCTAATCAACTGTTATGGAATAAATTATTCCAGTTTATAATACAGACCTTCCCATGTGTTGTTATTCATCAGTTGATTTTGTCAGGGCGAGAGGGAAGAGGGTAAGCAGAAATGAAAGGTAGGAAGGCATTAAGAGAAGAATGAGAAAAATGAAGTTCATTCAGGTTTAGTGCAAGGCTTGTGTTGCAGTGTAACGCCCCATTTACGCCAGAAGGAGGAAAGTATCTACAGCCAGTCTGTGGATAACCTGTGTGGCACATACATAGCTCCTATTTGTTAAAGAAATTACAGTTTTGTAGCCTTTTGCTTCAGGACCTGTGTAAACTACACTGTTCTTATTTGAAGAAGGGAGCTTCTTCACCTTCCAAGCCAGTCCTTTTACTGTCTTTTACGTACACGGATACTGTTCTAGGCAAACTTTGGGAACATGGATGGCTGTTGTATGTCTGTTGAAGAGAGGGAGAGTTACAGGATCCACAAAGAGATCGAGAGACAGCTGAGAATGGACAAAAATGATGCGCATCGACAGCTAAAGCTGTTACTTCTAGGTATGCTGCTGTTTTTTTATGGGTTTTATGAATTGATTTGTCATTTTCTGCCCACTTGAAAAACCTAGCTGATAGACGGGGTTATTTTAAAGATAGATTCTGAAACATCTGTCTGTCTGGTACCTTGTAGTGTGCTGGTTTTCATGAAGCAGATGAATTTTTTAGCAGAGGTAGTATGTTTAGCATCCTCATTCAAATAAATGCAAAACTGTGTATCTATCCTCTGACTGTGGCCTTGAAAACATATGCTGTGTTGTGATACTATCTGGTCAAAAGATTGTGTTCATTCCTTATGAAGTAAACAGGGTGTGACAGAAAAGAAAATAATTTTTTAAGAAATAGTTGGGTTTATGAATAATGCTTTGGTGAACAGTGTAGACGTTTAAAGAGCGTTTGATGAGCGTTAATATAACTGAATCACTCTCATAATTCTGGTTACCAATTTGAATATGCTTATTTCCTTGTGCTGAGTTATGCTAATCAGGTGTGCCCATCGCTTGGTTGGTAGAAGGAAGAAGAGATGAACAAATGCAGTGTAATGTTTCCTTATAGTCATCTTGATAACGTTATCATAACCAAAACTGTTTGAAAAACCTGTTTATAAGCCTTCAACAATTCTCATTGATCAGTGCATGACTAGAAAGCACAAGTGCATTGCAAATGTTCTAAAACTATATCCGAAGTAAATTAAAATTGTGATATTTGTTCTTCAGTTGTGCAAGGAGCTTTAAAATTAGACAACTACAAAATTAACAACACTATCAAACAGAGAGAGCATTCTATCACTTCTTTCTTTTCTGATAACAATACTTAAACCTTAAGTGTCACCTGATACTTTCACTTTATTTTAAAAGGCACTCTTCAAGGACTCTCAAGTGAGGCCAAATTCTCTTATCCATTCATGTTAGGCATTCATTTACATGGGAAAGACTGAAGAATACACAAATTAAACAAGACAAACGTGTGTTCCTAAATCATTCAGTGGCTATAAATGTAGCTCCATGCCTGAAACTGGCCATATCCACTGTTTATACAATTAATAAGTTTAAGTGAGCTGGAGCTATAGTGAACCTGCCCCAAAATGGATGCAAGTGTATTTTGTCCCCAAGCACAGGATAGTTAAAAATGCAAAAATTTATCCAAGGTTCACACTACTGGAAATTTGACTGGAAGGTTCTATGGTCAGATGAGACAAAAATACAGCTTTGTAGCAACACTGAAGGTGAGTAAAACTGGGAACCTTGTTGTGATACATGGCATCATGAACTCCATGAAGTACCAGGATATTTTAAAGGCCTCCACACCGTGATTACAAAGTGGCTAATCTCTAGATCTTTGTCCTGGAGGGCCGGTGTCCAGCACAGTTTGAAAGTTTCCCCACCCAAACACATCCACTAAACCTAATTAACAGATGAGCGTAATCACATGTTTCAGCAGGTAAATCCCCAAATTGTGCTGGACGCCGGCCCTCCAGGACTGGAGTTGTGCACCCCTGGTCTGGATAAAATAATGTTAAATTGATCAACATGTAAGAAATGCACTACTCTAAATGTGTTCTATATGAATTGTGGCGTCCACTAATTTAATTAACCAGGGAATTTCATTAACCCCTATTTAATCACGCGTTGTCTGTAGGGCACCTGGTACTTCCCAGAAAGGGGAGATAACATGCCAGTATAATTTTCAGCTTGTATTCAGATCCTTTTGGATTTACAGATTTACAGGTAACTGTGAAGCTGAAGTTTGCCTTTTTTTGCAAGCTTCTTGTTCGAATTTTCACATTCTACCTTAAATGGCGCAGCAGTTCCATTCTGCCTCTGCCCGCCCAACCATGTTTTCACTGGTTGGCATGCCTCCGCGTCGGAATACATTTCGGCAAAGGTTGAAATGGGTTATGTTTGATACAGAGGCTGTCAATCAATCTGCTGGAGTCCACACCCACACAGACAAAAAAGAAAATACAAAACATTCATTTTAATGTCTTTTTTGGAGGAAAAAAATAGAAGATAACTGAAATATATTAATAAAATTAATATAATAAAAATTGCTTGCTGAAATATTTATTTTTCACAGATTTTAAGAAACAATTGTACAGGGCCTTTAAAAGAAAATCTGGCTATCTCTGCCAAAAGCTGTAACTGGGTCATGGTTGGATCTTCTAGCAGGACAATGATCCACACCACACAAAAATAGTATAATGACCACAGAGTCCAGGTTTTTACAGGGCCATCCCCATTCGCTTGACCTAAATCTCATTGTAAATCTGTGAGTGAGTCAAAGCAGAGAGTCCAAAAGAGATGACCTAGTCCCTTAGAGGATCTAGAAAAGAGTCTGTATAGAGACGTGGTCTCAGACTGCTTGTTCTGTATTCTCAAATTTCATAAAGTATCATAGGAGAGGACTCAATGCTGTTATGTTGGGAAAGAATATTAAAAATAATAATAATAATAATTTATTGATAATGGTTTTAGTTTTCTTAGATTAACTAAAGATTGTAAACATTTGCTTATCCAATGATTCCATTGAAATCAAGGGTATTAACAGGTAGATTTTCCCTTTTGCTGCAGTAACAGCCTCTTGTCTTTTGAGACAGCTTTTCACTAGATGCTGGTACATTGGTTTTGTGGGGCTACAAGTGGTCGTGAGCCCTATGGGGCTAGTAACACTTTCAATCTTGTGACTTCCAATACTGCCATTCATCATCTTTTCACTTTTAACTGCACAAATTTAAACAAAGCATCAGTTAGCTTCTTATCCGCCAGGTTCTCAAATTTTCCCCTCCACTTTAAATGGTGCCTGTGTCTGCCAAACCATTTAAGAAAATCTGAATAAGAAGCCAGTTTTAGCCTCACCAAACTTAAATCTAGAATCAAACCACTAAAAGACATTTTCGGTCAAGGTTTGAAATTTGTAATGAACTTGAGATTAACCATCTTGAGCTCATATATGCTAGCTGCGCTCTGTCCAATCAGTCAGACAACGCTTCTCCAACAGTGTGTGGTCTTACCTTTGATAGATGTTTGCTTTAAGTACCAAGAAAACAACGCAGGAAACTGACAAAAATGACATATACTACAGGACGGAATCTTACTTTTGCACATGCTTGGTTTTATCTTTTAACCACAGCTGGAGCTTCAGATTCAAACACTGATTATGAACTGAGCTTGTGTCGATGACGGATAGCGACGGTTGTGCAGTGTAGTGATTGGAGGCCTTAGAAAAGAAGGCGGAACTAGGCAGGGAGGCAATTTTTATTTGCCATAATACAAACTTGATTAACTTAACAAGTCAGCTTAGATATTCTTCCTCTGTTTGTTTGGGAAGGCTTGTTATGAATATGAAATGGGAGAAAAGTAAATCTCATTCAATAAAGGGGAAAAAACAGCTAATCTGGGCCTTTTATAACTCAGGGACCCTGGGCCCAGGTAAGCCTGTGAATTAAATAGACCCTTGAGAGATCAGCTACAGATGCTGCGTGATCAGTTCTGGATCTCAAACATCACTCCAAATCAACCTCAAGGTATTCAATATTACAAAAAATATGTAATTCCACTGCTCCAAAGTCCAATTCTGTTTTTTTTTGGTTTTTTTTTACCTCTCTAGCTGATGGATATGTGTATGGATATGATAGCATTGGCCATTGTTGGTAATGTTTTCCTATGAAGATTATACAAGCTATGTGTGCCACCTGAATGACTGTGTCAGCAATGGGTGCATCTTTTATTTTCTTTCTTTTTTTTATCTTCTTTTTTAATTCAATTATTTTTTTTCTTCAGTTAAGGTCATTGGTAAGGTCATTGTCCATTGGTAGTGAAGATGGTAAGTGGCTTCCAGTAAATGAAACATTATAATGATAATATGAATAAAAAAAAACTAGTTTAATTTTTGTTTATTCTTAATATAGGTATTGTTTGAGGAAATGCAAGCAGCAACAACAATTCTCTGTACACATCTGTGTAATAGTGAATGAGATTTGAGTATCAACCAGATGATGTACTGCAGAACTGGCACATCTGTCACAGAGCAATTCCTTGATTACCCACTAAAGGGCAGTATCTCCACCACAATCTTTCAGCTGTTTCATTAGACAGAGCTTAAACCTGAACAGTATTCACTCACCAGCAATAACAGATTTTATATGGGACATAGCACCACCATCTGAGTATTAGGAGGTAGCAGCAGATTAATAAAACTAAATTTAATCAACAAACAAAACTTTTAATTATAATTAACTACTAGCTTTTAATTCCAGCCAATATTGTCTACTATGCTGGTAATTCAGCTCCCCTCTGGAGGGACATTGATATTTTCTTTCCAGTAAATCGTAGCCAAGTAGGGGTAAAAGACTCTAGAGCAGTGGTCACCAACCCTGTTCCTGGAGATCTACCTTCCTGTAGACTATAGCTGCAACCCTAATGAACCTTCTGATCCATCTTATTATTGCCTTCAGAAGTCTTAATTAGCTGAATGAGGTGTTTTACAGGTGGGTTGGGGGTGAAACCTGCAGGAGGGTAGATCTCCAGGAGTAGGGTTGGTAACCACTGTCCTAGAGCTTCTTGAACTGGAAATTTTGGGGGTTGTGGGATGGTTGTAGGAGAACAGAAATACCCAGGCCTGTAACTCTGCTTAGATTTTACATATATATATATATTTTTTTTTTCATTCTAAGCTAAAACAGTCAAACTAGATTTTATGTGGATAATTACTCCTCATGGGGAATGTAGCACTGTCTGTGTCGCACACTGTAGCAGAATCAGTTTTTCAATGCTACAAAGTCTATGTTCCCAGCAAGGAGCAATATGAGGAAGACTGCTGTAATGTGTTCCAGAGAAATATGAAGAAGATTGTTGTAGTGTGTTTCAGTGGAGAATAGAGATGTTCACAAGTTGTTTTATGTGAGTCTGAGTCATGTCTTGAGTCACTGGCATGTGAGACCAAGTGAGTCTGGAGTCTTTAGTAGAGAATTTTAAATTAGTCTAGTTATTAACTGCAGGCATTGCATTATATGAAAGTAAACCCCCTATAAAAGCCTGTCAAGTTCAATTAACAAGGCTTTCATTAAACAAAGTAAATGGTGTGTTTAAAAGACTGAGGGAAAACAACTTGAAACAGTTAGTTAGTCTATAGTTCCTATAGCTCACGCTAGCCAGCTAGTATAATAACTAATCCAGCTGAAACTTTAGTACTTTTTAGAGAAATTACAGCTAGATTAGCAAGTGTGCTAGCTAACATACGTCCAAAGTACATTCTACCTAACAGTTTCGAGTTGTTTTGCCTCTTCATTTTAAAAAAACGCATTTACTGTGTATAGCGCTTTGTACTCTTCATCAAGCTGATGGGTTTTCTGTAATGAAATGCTCATTATTTGACGTCGTATCAAACCTGATGCCACTGTGAACTGCAAAAGAACGGTGTTACAGTAATGACTGTGCATGACCATAGCAAAACTGACATGCAAAGTCACGCACATAAAGTTGGTAACAAATCGTTTTATTTTTGTATGCATTAAAGTTGGCGGTTGTAATTTAATCAGTTATCTTCAGGTTTTTTTTCCTGGCTGAAATTTCACAAATCATAAGTCTTGAGACCGAGTCCGGTTGCAAATGATTTAAGCGCAACTCTGACTCGAGTTGGCAGTCATAGACATAGAACTGGAGTCTGAGTCACTGAATCTGAAGTCCCTATCTCTGGTGAACAAATATGAAGAATGCTGCTGTAGTGTGTTTCAGGAGAAAGGTAAAGAAGGTTGCTGTAGTGTTTTTCAGGAGAGAAGTAAAGAAGGTTGCTGTAGTGTGTTTCAGGAGAAATGTAAGAAATTACTAAAAACCAATATGTTTAAAACCTCTTTAGGTACAGGGGAGAGTGGTAAGAGCACCTTTATCAAGCAGATGAGAATAATCCATGGAAAGGGCTACTCGGAGGATGACAGAAGAGACTACACCAGGCTCGTCTTCCAGAATATATTTGTTGCAGTTCAAGCTATGATCCAAGCCATGGAGACCCTGCGTATCCCATTCATAGATGACAAAAACACAGTAAGCACTTGTGAGCCTAAACATCAGAGGTCGGTAGTAATTTGTAAATACTTAAGTACATATTTAGAGGGTTTGCACTATTCTAAAGTATTTTCAAATCATTTTAAACCTACTTTTTTATTTAAAACACAAGTCAATTTGTGAATAATACACTTTTTGCTGTCAAGTTGTGGAGAATGTGCTGTTTTGCTGTCAATTTGTGAAGAATGGACTGTTTTGTTGTTGCTTATATCTCAGACACTGTAGCGTTAGCATTTTGTTTTAGAAGTAGCCCAAAAAGAGAAAAATAAAGCACCTCACAAACTTATGCCTATGCTAATAGATGCTAAGAAATTCATCTGCAGTTCTATATGGAACCCTACTCAGGTTGTTCTTTCATAGCTTCTTTTACCTCTATTTGAGTCATTATTTAATGCAACAGTACTTTGCCTAAGCATGGTTAGAAGACAATGAATGTTTTTAGTTTATAAAAAGAGTGTGTGTGTGTGTGTGTGTATGTGTGTGTGTGTGTGTGTTTCAGAATTTTGCTGCAATGCTAAGTGGTGTGACACCGGAAACAGTGATGACAATGGAGGCCCACCATGCTGAGGCCATAAAGAGTGTGTGGAGTGACCATGGCATGCAGCAATGCTATGAGCGCAGGAGAGAGTATCAGCTGTCAGATTCAGCCAAATAGTGAGTTCCTTTTACCATGGCTCTTCATCTGTCTATTTCAATTGTGGTGTTCTTTGGCAAAAAAAAACTTGCACAGATTTGTGATCAAAATATCCAACACTCTGGTTCTAAACATTTGTGACGTTTTTTCTTACTTAGTTACCTGGATGACATAGACAGAATCTCCTCTGCTCTTTACGTGCCTACTGTCCAGGATATTCTGCGAGTCAGAGTGCCCACCACTGGAATTATAGAGTATCCCTTTAACCTCAGCTCTGTTATATTCAGGTAAAATATTGTGCTAAAATTCCAAACTATAGGTATAGTAAATTTATTTTTAGGAATGCACCAGTCCAATTTGTAATGTTTGCTATATGCATACTGGATACCAGTCAGACGTGACCAGTTCACGTTTGATACTGTTTCTTAGTCATGGTTGTGGACCTGGAATACTGCTTCCCTGAACGTTTTAGTGTTTTCTCTTCTCTAACATACCTGATCCAGTTTATTAGCTAATTAACAAGCCTGCCCTAAGTTGAACTGGGCATGTTAGGACAGAAAATACTAAACTACGCAGGACAGAAATATTCCAGGACCAGAATTGAGAACCAAGATTTTCCTTGCCACTGTTGCCGTTGGCTTGCTAACTTGGGCTTGGACCTGAATATCTGTACAGCTGCTTTATGAAATTGCCCAGTGTAAAAAGTGCTATACAAATGACTGTGAATTTGAAATTGAACTACTATTCTAGAATAACAGAATTTTAAAAACAGTGTTGGTGTTGGTTCACTATTACTCTACTGTATATATTGTGCTTATGTACTTTGCTACTACAAAATATGAATACTCAAAAAGGCTTAAACACAGTCACACTTGACTACTTTATAATGTCACAAAGTGCTACATCATCCTGGAAATGGTGGTTTTTACTGTAAAAGCCAGGCAAGCAGGGAACAAATCCAGTTTCTGGTCCCGTATTTTGTAATCACTGGTAGTTGTAGTCACTTACATCGCTGTTGATGTAAGTGATTGGCCACCTAGTGTTTCACCTACCAGCGATTACAAAATCCAGGACGAGATACTGGATTCAAAGTCCAGATTTATAGACCTCTGGCCAATACACTCCCATCCACTAGCCCATCATCTTCAATCTCAAAACAGAAATGATCTATTTACCCTCATTCACGATTGTATGATCTTCAAACTTACAACATAAACTCACAACACTATGTCCCTATATTGCCCCCTGACTGTTGGGTTTCAACTTCACTAGCCACACCCAGGCATGGTTGCTGCCAGACCTGTTGAATCTAAACATCACTTAAATAGAACCTGTTTGACTAGAAGGTCCTAAAAAGGAGCACATGATGCCACATTCTAAAGAGATTCAGATTCAGATGCAAAACAAACTCATTGAAATCTACCATTTTTGGAAAAGGTTACGAGGCCATTGCTAAGGCTCTGGGACTCTAGCGAACCACAGTAAGAGCCATTATCCACAAATAGACAAAACTTGAAACAGTGGTGAAGCCTTCCCAGGAGTGGCTGGCCTACCATATTTCACCAAGAGCACACTGACAACTCATTTAGGAGGTCACAAAAGAGTTAGTTAGGGTCAATGTACTCAATTCCACTATAAGAAAGACACTGGGCAAAAATGCCATCCATGAGAGAGTTGTCAAACATGGTGGTGGTAGTCTGATGGTCTGGGGCTGCTTTGCTTCTGCAGGACCTGGATGACTTGTCATAACCAATGGAACCATGAATTCTGCTCTCTATTAGAAAATCCTGAAGGAGAATGTCCGCCTGTTCATTTGTCTCGTAAAGCTCAAGCATAGTTGGGTTACGCAGCAGGACAATGATCAGAAGCAAGTCCACCCCTGAATGGCTGAAAAGAAACTAAATTGAGGTTTTGAAATGGCTATGAGTCCTGAGGTGAATCCCATTGCGATGCTTGGCAACACTTTAAATGGGCAGTTCATGGGCAGTTCATGCTCGAAAACCCTCCAACGGTGCCAAATTAAAACAATTCTGCAAAGAAGAGTAGGCCAAAGTTCCCCTACAGTGTGTAAATGACTCACAAGTTATCGCAAACGTTTGATTGCCGTGGTCACTGCCAAGGTTTGGAGGGCTATTAATTTTTCACATGGGTGACATAGATTTTTAATAGATTTTGTTTTCAATAAATGAAACGATCTTTAAAAATCTGCATTTTGAGTGTACTTGTGTTGTCTTCATCTTGTAATAAAATTACTTGGATGATCTGAAACACTTAAATGTGACAAATTGGCAAGAATAGAAGAAATCGGGTAAGGAGCAAATATTTTTTCACAGCACTGTATGTTGCTGGCTCAATTTGTGACAGACGTTCCTTTGTGTTGCAGGATGGTTGATGTGGGAGGTCAGCGGTCAGAGAGGAGGAAATGGATTCACTGTTTTGAGAATGTGACCTCTATAATCTTCCTGGCGGCACTGAGCGAATATGACCAGGTCTTGCTTGAGAATGCCAGTGAGGTAGGATGCTCTTTTCAAAATTCTGATTAAGCTGAGGGAGGGGTATTAACTAAAAGGAATCTTAATGTGTTTGGCATTGTGTGTGTTTGGTTTGATATTCTTCCTTTACAGAACCGTATGGATGAGAGCAAGGCTCTGTTTAAAACCATCATCACTTACCCATGGTTCCAAAATACCTCCATTATCCTTTTTCTCAACAAGACAGACATCCTTAAAGAGAAAATCACTAAGTCTCACCTTGCAGACTACTTTCCTGAATACCGGGGTGAGAGGCTTAATATACACACTGTGTAGGCTAAGTAAACACGCTAATACTAGTACATCTTATTAGCCACATTTACAATATAAACACATTATTTAATCTTTAACAGGCCAAACTCGTCTTTTAAATTCTTAAACAAAAATTGTTTAAGAAACATAACGCATAACAAATTATGCATATCCATGCAAGAACAATCTTTTTTTTAACTGTGTTCAAAATATTACGCCAAAGTTTCTACAAGCTAATCTGTTTCTTTCCAGGCCCTAAGTGTGATGCAGATACTGCAATGAAGTTTATTCTCAAAATGTATGAAGAGCAGAACTCAGAACGCAAACGCATGTACTCACATTTTACATGCGCCACAGACACAGAAAATATCCGTTTAATCTTCTCAGCAGTGAAAGACACTATAATGAGAATCCACTTTGAGGAGTTCAACTTGACTTAAAGAGACACTTGTGGCATATATGGCTTTTAATGCTGAAGTTATGATCATTTAATACTTATTGGTGCACACTCTCCAGAAGACTGTTGTGGAATGCTACAAGGTTGTAATACTGTGGTATAGTGAAGCACTGTGAAATTAATTCCAAAAAACTCTTTAGCTTTAGATTCTTTTAATTTTACTTTCTAATTTTAGTTGCTGTTTTTCATGATTCTGACTGTAGGCTTAGAGGCCTGTGCGCTATGATGCATAACTTTGGAAACCAGTTGATGAGTGAAACTATCTGCTATTCAGCCACAGATTCAGCTGAGGTTTTTTGGTTTGTTCATTTGTCAGTTTTTTTTTTATGTGGGGATATTTTCAAACAGTGGGATCCATACTGTGTGAAGCTGTTGTATGATCCTGATCTTTTTCTCATAGCAGCTGCAAAGGAGAGGTATCTGTACACCAGCTATGTTTGAGTGGTTCAGTACTCAACTAATGACTTTCAAACAGGTTACGCTTAAGCTGGCAAATGTTGTTGGTTGCATGTCACCTTTCCTTTGTGTCCAAGAGAGGAGAAGCTGGTACATTTATGCTATCCTGTGAAGATCAAAAGATGATTATGTTACCTGCAAGTTGAGCTGCCGCAAAGGAAGTAACAAAGACATAAGAGTTAAATTTAAAACCTTTGCAAATTATGCAAGCCTACCTCTACTCTCTGCATAGCTCTACAATCTGATTATCAAGCTTTGACAAATTTTGAATATAACCTGTATTTTCTTATCTTTTTTTTTTTTACTGCTGTATCTTTTGGATTGGGTTTTTGTATTTACTTATTGATATTCTGCAGAGCAGCAGCTGATTAACAATGTTTTAAACCGTTATGCTAACTAAAGTGTAGGGATGCACAATGTTATCAAAATCCTTTCGGCATTAGACAGATGTACAGGTATTTAGATTTGACCGATATTTTAAATCAATATTTAGTGATGCATTTATTGTATTCTGGAAGAGCAGAATGTTTAGGGGTAACACTGGGCTACTGTGCTAAAATGTATAGATTTTATTATTCTTATTGTATTTGCAAGCCTATAGAAATAAATATTACATTTTTCAATAATGCTAATTTGGGTGGAAGTACATTTCTACATTGTCTAAATGCGTTTGTATTAGCACTGCCATTGCAGATATGTAAATGAAAAATATCTGATACTGGCATCAGCCCACAAATGACCTTACAATCATTAACATTTTTGATCACAGTGGTGCACATCTGTGCTTTTAAATTCCAGGCAGTCTTTTGTAATTTATTTTTAGTGTGATTGAGACTATGATGACATCTCAAAATGTATTATTGTAGAGTTTATCATTATTTTAATGTTGCAATTTTCAAGTGTTGAATTCTGTTTCAAATTGTACTCTATAAATGAAATATTACAACCATTGAAATATTTCCTTTTTGTGTCATGTGTCCTTCAATTTTGTTAAAGTTTCATACTATGGTGTCAGGGAAGGAAAACACATGGAAAACACAGCAAATGTTCTTTTATTGAACACAGCAGCAGTGGTTAACCATTGCTAAGCACTGTCTGAAACGGATTCTATAGGAGGTAGGTCACTTCTAGCCAAACAACTCACCTTCATGACAGACCTTAAACCCACACATTACCCTACAGCCCAATACAAAACAACTCATATAACATGTACACATCTTAAACCTATCAGCAACAACTTATTTACACATTAAAGTCTCTCTTACTAAGAGTTCCAGGAAACACACAACATTGTGAAAACTTTGTCTACTTTCTTACAGCGTTGCTACAACGTTTTCAAAAGGTGTTGCTGTTTATATTGTCTGATTAAGGTTGTCACAATGTTATCACAACCTCATTATTCAATAACATTATCATATGGTATTATGACAACCTGTTGGCAACTTAGCAAAGTTCCATGGAGTTCCATGCACAACATAATGAAACTTATGAGGATTCTAGGAGGTTGTGACCACATGCTGACAACATTGCCACTATGTTGTCACAATGTTGCCATATGACATTGGCACAACTTTCTGAGGAATTACATTTCAATGTTTTAGGCACCAAAACTATGAGTTGTCACAACATCATCACAAGGTAACTGTGTTTGCTGGGGTCCAGCGCTACTATGAGGCCGCATGCAACACCGCTCTGCATGGCCACACCTCCCGCGTGTCCATGTCCGGTAGTGGGTTGCTACAATACTTTCTAGTCTCAAGAGTTCTAATAATTATATAAAAACCAAGTAATTATTTTTAAAACAACTACTTTATATTAGTTTATATATCTTTTGTAAAAGTGAAACCCAGGGCTGTAACTAGGAAAAAACGAAAAGTGACCCACGCCAAACAGCGACTACAGTGCCTGTCTCTTTTGCTTTCCACCTCCTCTGTCCTCACAGATTATTAAAATAAGCATATATCAAAAATAATAAAAAAAATAAATAAAAGTCTTTCTTTACCGAACCTCAGCTAACGCAGTCAAGAGCTAGAGACGGCACGACATTTGATGGAGGCGGACGCCTCACAATTCTCTATTCAGGAGAAACCCTGCCTTAACCTGACAGGTTACGTGTTGCGATTCAAATTACAGTGTTTGTACAGTGATCTAGATGATTTTGGTTTTGGCTTTGTTTATTTGCTTTACTGTTTCTATAAGCAGTTTGTGCAGGTTTAAACAACTTTGTAAACTGTTCCCACAAAACATGTTGTTTTGTCTGTATTTGATTTTTCAAATAACACTGAAAGATGTATACTGGATGATTAGTTCTGGATCAAAAAAACCTCTCCAACCTCATCCCAAAGGTGTTCAATGCTTCTCTATGCTGAGGGGCTTTATACTGCTCCAGAGCATCCCGTTCTATTGCCAACGCTTTTCTATGGAGATTATACAAGTTGTGTGTGCACAACTGAATGCCTGTATCAGCAGTGGGTACACCTTAAAGTAGCTGGAATCACTCATTACAAGGGAAGTCTGAGTATTTTTGAACATTTTGACATATTGCTGCTTTTAACTGCAGTTGGCTGGTAGTTTTCTCTGATATATTCATGTGCTTTATGTGGGAGATTAACAAAACATAATGTGGATGTAACATAATTATTGTAGTTTAATAGCTAACTGGCATCTATGACCTTCAACCTTTTTGACTAGTGTTTTTCAATAAAAAATGAAGCAGAAATAAAATATGGGTTCATTGTTGAATTTAAAACATGTCTAAATTTACTTTACAGCTACCATTTATTATGTTTGTACAGTGCTGATTACTGTAGACTGATTTCGATAGACATGTCGTATAACATATAACTATTGTAATCCATATATGTGGTCTAACACAAACGTTTAGGTTAGCATTAGATGCAAGAGCCCTGCGACCCAGAAGGATAAGCGGTAAGATAATGTGTGTGTGTGTATGTGTGTGCATGTAGAGGCAAGAGGGTGGAATGGCATGCCTTGAGAGCATCAACTTGTTTAAGAAATAACAATCGCTACACAATAAGCAAATTACATTGTAGTTTTTTATTAGCTGGAAGTAATTTTGGTACGGGGGCCCATAATATCCTAGTTATGTCACTGTCATTGACGTCAAATTTAGGCCAATTTGTGCTGTATTGAAAATTTCTTCTGTGTTCCCCACTTTAACATCTAACTTTAAAGAGTGTTCTTGTAGTGTTTCCTGGTAGGAAACTAATTTTTCCTGATAAAACTGCGACCGCTTGAAAGGTGCAAAAGGCCCTATGCTAGCACATTTTAGTGTTTTTTTTTCTGTCCCAATACACCTGAACCGACAAATCAGCTCATTAACAAACTCTGTTCAGAGCTGAAGTGGGAATGTTACAACAGGAAAATCACTTTTAATGTTTTCTAAGGGACAAATACATATTGCAAAATGTCCATGTAAAAAAAGGAATTATGATAGCAGTTTTTATTATTACACTATTATATTAAAATATTTTAGTACTCAAACATTACAGTAGAAAAATTACAATAACAAAAATGTAGGACATGACCCCTTTAAACTCATTCAGTTCCATGCAGCTGAATAATCCTCCTCCTCTCATGCAGCCCTCAGAGCTCACCTGTGCTGTCAGACCTGCTCAGCTTGATTTAATTGCATGATATGTTCTGTGGTTAATTTCCCAAAATAACTAATCTCATATTTAACATTGGTAATTCTTTGCAAGGCTTTGTTCATTTTTCTATAAATGACATTTTTGGTCTAGTGAAACTGTATGGGACTGCTAAGTTGCTGCTATACTACAGTAGAGACCCTTGAGCTTGTAGTTTCTGATTTTTTTTACTCATTGTTGCTCATTTTGTCCTCCCAACACATTAGCAAAGAATGAATTAAATGTTCTCAAAAAATGCACCTGGTAGTAGTGCTCTCATATATCTTTCTATGGCCTTTTTGATATAATGATCAGGGAAAGAACTAGGAAAAAATTCATTAATAAAATAAAATGAAGTAAAGTAAAACTGTAATCATACTGTAATCTGTTCTGCATGGGAGTAAAATAAAACCACTGGCAGCTGCACTCGATTAATGACTGCAGTGATTGGTGCATTTTCTCACACCATCTTCTCTCAGCATGCCTTAGCCTAAAGTGCCCCATGTGGTATGTTAACAAACCTGTCTTGTGACAAGCATGCATGTATTTATGTTGATAATAATTTTTCAGGAAGATGTTTATGTAACATGCATGAAGTGTGGTGATGTGCTGTAGCCTGATAGTCACTGCAGTCTGGATGGTCTCCTTCACATGGAAAGGAATATTGGGAATATTAGAAAAATTTATTTCTCAATTTCTGTCTTAACACCACAGTGGTGGGCATAGGAACCCAAACATCTGAAGTGTTTAATGCCTCCAAAAGCTCTTTTACAGAAAGGTATTACAATGGTTATGAATATATTGCCCGATGCCTAATACATTGTTTTCCAATAGTTTTGAGAAAGTTTTAGCCTAAAACACTTTTTTAAAAACCTCATGG